GAGAAAGGATTAATGACAATAGAACCCTCTTAATATCTCTCACTCCTTCTTCATTTTTCTCATCTATAATTATCTAATAATCTTAAAGTAATTCCCAGTAAGTTATAAACTTGAAATCTCCCATGTCTACATTTCTAATAAAAAATACAAAGATACATTCCCATGTGGTACTCCCCTTTTATGCTATATCTAACCCTTATCTCTAAATCTTTCAGCCTTGTCATTTCTCTTAGTTTTAGCCAGCTTTCCCTTTACTAAGTTTTCCTGGCCTTTCCTCTTTATCCCTCTTTTTTCCTCTAATATTACTTTTATTTCCATCTGCCAGTCCCTCATCTTTCCTCCCACCCTTTCCTTTTCTCTTTTTTGAAATTTCTTCTTGTACAGCTTCTTCTTCTTTTGCTTACTCTTGGGAGCTTTTTCTTTTTTATTTATTATCTCTGTCATCAAATGTCTTAGTTTTAGTTCCTTTTATGTCTTTTGGCAATGCCTCTGAATTTTCATCTTGGCTGTTTTCCTCTTCCTTTGGCTCCTCTTCTCTAAGGTTCCTTTGTTCTGCTATAAATTGCTTTACTTTTTCTGCCAATGTCCAATAGTCCCCTTCTTTCTTTTAACATTTCTTTCACAGATTGCAGTTCCAACACTAATTCTTTGCTTGCTTCTTCCATTTTTTAATCAATTGTGTTATTTTTTTATTTTATTAAAGTTAATTGTAATCCTTGCCAAGAGACTCAGTTTATTTCTCTTTTCCTTATTGGTCTATTGCCTTTGCACAGTCAACCCCCAACAGTGCCAAGATATTGCCTTCATTTATCTTCTTGCTGCAATCTCCCCCCCTTTTTTTTAAGCTTCTGGGGTTCTTGTTCTGTTAAAGTCTTTTATTTCATATCTTTTCTCATTCATGCATTTAAAAGACCAGTAATTTTCCATAAAGTCATCCAGGGAAAATGTCTTGTACCATTAGGTGGCGCTCTATATCGCTTCCACTTTTCAAAGTTTTAATTTCGTTATAGCTCTTTTATAGTCCAGTTTTTATTTACCTTATATTGTCTTCTTATTTTCCATTTGCTGCTGTTATACTCTCAAGCAAGGAATCCTTCTTTCTGCTTTTCGGGGTTATTAAAACAAAATGTTCAGCTTCTCTTATCTGGTTACATGCCACTCACCACTTCACCACTCCAGCACACACTTAAGTCCCGGTAGCTTCCCATCTTCAGGGCAGCCATTAAAATTGCCGCTTCACCCTGTCTTCCAGGAGAGTATACCAAGCCAGGGAGGGGAGATGCAGCTCCCCTCAACCCGGCTGGCAGTGTCCCCCTCTTCTCCCACCCCTCCAAGGTGGGTCTGATGGTTCTGGTCCTGTAGGAACCCCTCCAACAGGGTAAGCACGGATCGAAGCTGCACACAATTGCGGTCTCCATCCATCCTCGACGGAAGTGTCACCGGAAGTTGAGAATTAAATTCTATTGCATAAAATCCATGTAATGTAATTTCCTGGAGAAGGCCATCCAAATAATTAATTTTATTAACATAATTTTCATTCAGTTACTTTTATCCTAACCAATTAACAAATTTTAAAATGAATGAGTCATTAAATGCTCAATACTACATGCAGCCAACAGTTGCAAAAATTAAGAATATATTACATTTTCTACAGTAAGCTGAAGTTAAAATTCATTTTGATCCAAGATCAAATTCCTATTTTATGAAATAAACATTTAGGTTCTTCTAAAATTCTCAGAAAAAATAATACATCTTTAGCTTTATTATCTGTATCATCTGATTATAAGCCTAATCAGAATAAATTATGATTGTAAAGATGAAACTACAGTTTTATAATCAATGTACAAGGAAATTAGAATATATCAGCCAGCAATTACAAGGGGATCTGCAAGCATCTGCCTGATCTTGCCTGAGAATGGAACTTAAGCAGATCTATTTTTCTAAATTTAATTATTAATCCTAAAATATTTTACATGCTGCTTGTCTGTCTAATTATTAATCTAACAGATGATCTACAAAGATGTACATATATAAATGCCCAGATTTTTTGTGAGAGCTATTAATAAAGAGTGTTGATGCTATAGTGCAGGGGTGTCAAACTCACAGCACCATGGCGTCATCACATGCCATATTGGGACTTTTTCCCCCTTTGCTAAATTGTGCGTGGGTATGGCCAGCGCGTGACGCATCTGGCCCATTGGCTGGGAGTTTGACAGCCCTGCTATAGTACAATAAATGACTTTTTTTTTATTAAGTACATTACTGGGTCACCTTGCTACCTGTTGTTCATTCTGTCTGTCTGTCTGTCTGTCTGTCTATTTATTTATTTATTTTAGTGTGATCTTGAATACTGGACTTGGCGTTTTTCCTGATCTCACCAAAATTAATTCAGTGAATATGAACTTTTTGCTGTAAGTAATAGGACCAAACAGAAGTCAATAGTAGTAGTCCATTTAAAGGTTGACTTTCAACATTGAATGTGAAGTGGGGAATTGATATTGGTTTCTTTGTCTCCTGAAATAGGAATTCTATTAATTAATAAAAACAAACAGTTATTAAAATTATTTCATCGCAAGTTCTAAAGATAGACAAATTATGTTTTAAAATGCATCTAATATAAAAAGTATAAGAAACAGATGTAATGCCTTAATCTACTAAAATCTCTCATAAAGTAACAATACACCTGTAACTTTTATGATTTGGGAATCCTCCAAAGATTGGAGGTCAAATTATACACTATGAAATGTGACGCTGCTATTGAAAACAAAGCCCTTTTGCCCGTTTTAATCTTCTTTATGGAAGCATAAAGTAAGGCAAATATTTTGTCCATCCAAACACTTCTGAGTCCCAAAGACAAAAACAAAAGTGATTATATAATGGCAAATGGTAGAACTATAAGAAAATAAAATAAATGCACAGATACCCATGAGTTACACTAATACGTTTTTATAATTTTATTACAATGCTAAACTGTTTTTGTCTTTTCTTCACAGTGAAATTGCTGATAACCCATACCTGAATTCATTGCCTTCAAATGCATTCCAGGGATTATGTAATGACTCCCTTATACTGTATGTTATTCTGTCATAAAACCATTTTTGCTTGTTTTGTTTTGTATTGTATTGTTTCATGTATTCTGAAATGATAAGATCTGAACCAGAAATTAAGTGGAGCCCAGAGATGCAGTACTATGCATTGGCATTAAGTTATGCAAACCAGCCTGGCCTTGGAATACATCTGTAGACCATGGTGGATTCTGGCACCAAGAGCAACTTTACAGAATCTCTGTTACAAAGGGCTTTATCACTGATAACTTGAAAAAGGATTTCATTCACCATTCGTTTAGTCTTCCCTGCCAAGACTCCTGTTTTCTCTATCAAAAAACAGAATGGCTCATGATTACAAGTTCCTGTATGTTATAATCATTTTCTTCCACATCTCCAAAAGTTTAAAACAACTGCAGGAAACACACAGTTTAACTAAGTGGAGTTTCACAAGAGACAAAGGATCATGAATATTTAACAGACTTTGTTATTCATTATTAAAATTTGAATTGTCAGGAAGTCCCCAAAGTTTCACAATTGTTAATCATAATTTTATTAGCTTTCATGGTTTATTTTAATGATTTTCTGATCGAGATTCTTTCTATCCCCACTCAACAGTGGTTCTACAACTTCAGAAATACATTTATTCTAAGCTAGATAAATTTGCCTTGGTTTATCTATTGAATATTCTTAGAAGGAATCCAGATAGATTCCTTTGTGTGGGGGATGAGAAATAGCATCAGGATATACACTGCATTTTATTTTGCTAATATAGATAGTGGCTTGGATTACTAGATACTATAATAGTTGATTTTCTTCATTATAACAGCTTCTTGTGTCTAGCATGAAAGGAATCTGTCTGTCTGGGTTTTATATTTTGACTCTTCCACTGCTCAATCCTCAATGCTGGATCATTTTCTAGATTTATTGGTGCATGCTTAGATAAAACTCTGACATCTGAATAAAGGATGAACCTTAATTACTACCTGCACTCTACAGTGCGCTTATTATTTCAAATGTTCTGGAACTACAACTTTCAATATTACCAGCTGAAATAACCAAGAAAAATGCTTTATTTATTTATAAGCATCTTTCTTGGTTATAGAGATATAGAAAAGATAATTCAGCAATAGCTGAAGACTCCTGTGTCATTTACTTCTGGACTAAGAGAGATACTTGCCATTATGGGGGAAGAGCTTAGACTACTTGATTAAGCTCTGTTTCTCAATTATCTACCCTCCTATTATGAAGATAATTAATGGCTAAGGTAATGGCTTTAACACATTTAAATAGGGATACTGTAGAATTACAGTATATATCAAGTTAAAAATAAAAACTTGATGAGATAATATAAGCATTAGGCTTCCGTATACCTATGATTTTAAACATTTTAAGCGGTATGCTTTCCTATTTCAAACTTTTTAAGTAATATGCTTTTGTGGGTTGTTTTCTTAAAAACGTCGCTTTTGCTGCTCCCTGGCAGGGGGAGGGGGAGTTGATGAGTAGCGTAGGTATAGTTATACTTTTTTAATGTTCTGGTTCATAGTATAGCATTGCATACAAATGATTATATACAGCCCTTAAGTATTTTCACTATATTAATCATTTCTATTTGCAGTATAAGTGTTCCTTCATGTTTGAGACTTCTGATTCATTGGATAAAATCTGCTGGATCTAAGCAATTGGACCCAATAAGCCTACATGGCTGCCTATAATGCAAAATCATCATCACCTAAACTAGCCCCATCCCTAATTTACAATAGAATAGTATATTATGGATCACTTCTATCTATCACAACAGCTTATTTAAGTCATTAGATTTTTATTCCATGTTTTGTATAGGAGTTTGTAGCAGGGCACAGAGTACTCTATCTTCCTACCTGCCCCATCAAGAGAAACTCAGTGAGATATATTGGGCTAAGAGCAGCTCCAGATTACTCAATGACTTTCTGTGGCTTAGGATATATTAGAACTTGAGGCTGTCCACTTTAGTCCAACACATCAATCAATACATCATTGCTCTGGAACTTTACTGTAATTAATATTATTACCAGGAAAATAAATTCTATCATGTCCCAATTTTTTAACCTTAAAAATTTCTATTCATATTTTGATAGACTTTTGGGTTTAAATTGAGCTGCCCTCCCCACCCTCAGCTAAATCAAGTATTTATTGAACATTTTTGAAATTATATAGAAACCCTTTGTAGAATTGGTAATAGAAGTAGCAGGAGCAAACAATAACAAGGTAGGGTTATTAATAGCAAAGGATGGTGAAATGGCTATGATTTACAGATAATGGCATTCTTGTCATTTTGAAAATTTAAAGAGATATATTAAATAGGAAGTGATGTTGGGCTCTTGACCATCTCATGGTAGTTCTTACAACATAGTTATTTTACATCATTTTTTTTTTATTTTGGATTACAGAACAGTGGAATACATCAGTCATGTGCATATAATCATGAACAGGGGTGTCAAACTCGTGTTGTCATGGCAGTGTCACGTAACGTATCAAGACTTTTTTCCCTTTCGCTAAACCGGGCGGGGACGGGGCCAGATGGTGACACATCCAGCCAGTGGGCTGCGAGTTTGGCACCCCGTCATAGAAGATAGTGCTGAGTATTGATTGGATTTTATTATTTTGAATTTAAAATAATTTTTGACAAAATATGAATAAAAACACACAAAACACACTAATAATGTATTTTTTTTTATTAACAGGAAACTCTACAATAATGGTTTCACGGTGGTAGAAGCCCATGCATTTAATGGAACTAAGTTAGATTCTGTGTAAGTAAATAATGTAATATATCATTACCACTTATGTTGTATTTTAACAGCTCAAAAATAAATACTCGCAAATGGTTTCTAACCGTCAACCTTAAAAATGCTGAAAGAGAAGTCTGTGTTAATTGTGTATGTTAAGTGTGACAAGGATATCACTAAAGTTTCATAACTGGGGAGTTGCTGAATTATCATTCTCTGAACCAGAATGCAGGTAGTACTCACTTAACAATGCCCCTGTTGACCAATCAAAGTTATAATGAAACTGAAAAAGTAACTTTACGACCAGTCCTCACACACACAATTGTTACAGCATCCCCACAGTCGAATGATCAAAACTCAGGCATTTCACAACTAGAAGGCATTTACAACCATTGCAGCATCCTTCGGACCTGTGACCGGCATTTGCGCATGTCACAGCCAGTTTTGTACAAGCATCGGTAATAGAGAAGCTGTCAGTAAAATCCCAATCCCAATCATACAATATTTTGCTTAACCACTTCATCACTTAGCTACAGAGTTGCCAATTGTGGTTGTTAAGCGAGGACTTCATTGCAGCAAACTGCTGGTTTGTGTGTGTGTGTGCATTTATTTGGCTAAAATATAATTTCTTCACTTTACTTGAAAGTAATCAAAGAAACTGAGATATTTTTAAAAGCATATGATTCCATTTCTAAGATGTTGTTGATGTAAATTTTGTGACCACTTCTGGGTTAAACTTTGTTCCTAGCAATGCTTTCAAGGCAACAAGATATTGTATACTGCAATGCTTTCAAGGTAACAAGATATAGTATACTGTTTCTGTAAATGTTTGGTAAAACATTTGGCCTCTACTACTGATCAAATTCTCCATGTACAATTGAAAGAGTTACGTATGTCCAATCAGTGCTGCAACTTCACTCTTTTTTGAAGTTTCATTTAATTTAGCCCAGTAGCAGGAATACCATATAACGTATCATTGTATAATGTAAAATTAATAACAACTTTCAGATCTATGAAAAAGATATATTCTTCTGCTATTCTTCACAGAAGATAAAAAATAACATTCTCAGAAAGATACATGCTGGACATAATCACCTTCTGCATTTTTTTCAGCCACAAATTGTTACCATATTATTAGCACGTTAAATTTTTTTTAAAATTGGTTAGTTTTTATTTTGAATAAATTAAATAAAAAATTAACCACTTACTGTACTAATGCACACTAAATGGTCACAAAAATATTTTAGATGTCCAATCAGTGCTGCAACTTCACCTGTTCTGGCAAGTCCATTCCCAGGTGTACTAAAATCTTTGACATAATCTGGCAGCCTGAGAAATTGTGATATCAGTAAGGGTTTTTTTTATCCCAGGACTTGGACTTGCTTCTTCCCTTTCCAGAAACCCCCCGTTTCGGCTTCCTTGATTGCCTTGATGCATGAAGGGTGTACTTTAACTCAAAAGAAGCCAAGTATATGATGTGATACTAGGTGCTCTCTATTGTTGATGGTAAGAGCTTAATTTTATTTTTACTGTCTACTAGCATTGCATCAGAAGATTTCCAAAACAAGTTTTGCTTCCCCCAAAGCGTGGATGCTAGATTAATTTTTGACTAACAATTGGCTTTCCAGTGCCTAAGTGTACACCATAACATGCTGCCATTCTCTTTGCCAAAGACCAGGCTGCAAACTGAAGACTGTCCAAGGTTGGATTATATATCTCTTTTATGCCCTCCTCCTAGAACAATTATTGGAATATTCCCCAAAAGGAATATATAGGCAGCTCCACAAAGAGGCACATTTTGTAACACTTTTTTCACTGCTTCCTGTCTACCATTCAGTCTGATCTGGCCAAAGTGATCTTCTAGGGACCTCTATGATTCTGCACAAAGGAACTTACAGATCTCTGACCAGTCACTGAAGCAAATGGGTGGGAGAAAATTTCTGGGAAATATAGCTCTTTCCTTGCTGCATGTTCTCACAATCTGCTATTCACTCCAATCTTTTTTTCAGTCCCATTAAGTTTATTTTATTCAGTTACTTCAAAGGCAGTAAATGTATTTCTTGGCCCAAATGGAGCTGAGAGGAAAAATACCTTTTTCACTAGAAGGAGACCTAAGACTGTGGATGGAGGGGCTCCCCCTCCCCATTGGATCCAAACCTTAGCCTGACCTTCTGAACGACCTAAGTGGTGTTAACCCTTTGCTATCAGTTCCATTTTCAATTGAAAGAGAATATAATAACAATGTACAAAGTTGCAAGCTGTGTAAATTTTCTGCATCAACTGGAAATATATCTGCTGTCCCAGATCTTCATCGAACTATATTATATACATTTAATGACGTGGGTGATGATCCACAAAAGTATTTACAATGATATCTGTGTTACCTCTGAAGATCTTGTGAGACCCTGAGATTTGTGCTACTTCCCCTATTTTTTCTATGGGTACTCTGATTGTTCCACTAAACTCCATGGGAGTTCAAACAATCATTCTAAACTACTTTTGGAACATTTAACATTTTTATTTATTTCAAATACTTTATTGTAAATTATCTGAATTGCAATGAAGATATTTGTTGTGTGATCACTGTACATTTTTATGTAACATAAAAATGGAAACCAAAACCCAGTTCATAAAACATGGGTACAAATGATGAAAAACACTGCTATGTTTCAAAACTATTCTAGTGGAAAGCTAACCAGTGCCATGTATCCGTTGTGCTGTTTTTCAACTTTTTAGGAACTTTTTACTTTCAAACAGCAACAATCACAACAACGTAACCCTAAATTGTTTTTTATTCGGAGAATGGAACGTGCCATTTAATGACTATTATTAGAATATATAATCTACAACAATTGCCATTTTAATAATTTCAGAATTACATTAGTTGTTCAATGATAGAAGCATAAAAGTATAACTCTACACAATACTATGTGGTCATTTTCTACTAAAGTAATACTTATTCAGGTATTTTTATGTGTTCTTAGAATTAAGCATTTTGGAACTGTATTCCATACTTTTTAAAACAAAATTGCCATACTGTACTTGATTTGAAAAACTAACTATGCTATCTGTAAAGTAACTAATGCAGAATGCAGAACCCCAGAGATTTTTTTAGTTCTAACATTGTGTTACGTGATTCCCAAAAAGAGGTAATATTTTTCCCAAGGTTGTTCTCTTTTGACACCTGTAGAAATAACATATAATCTCTGTCAACAGAACATTTAGGGCTTGGTCATTCTTATGACTTAAAACCTGAATATATTGCTAGTAATATTGCTATTACTTATTTATATAAATGAATCTTTGATGCCATTTATTTTCTACGAAATTGAAAAGAAAAAATTTACCCTAAAATGTTAATAATTCATTTCTTACATAGAATATAAATCATAGATAGGCAATTGGAGAAATCATTTTAATTTTTTTTGTCCTTCAAGACTTCATCCAGCCAGAAATTGTTAATATTTACAGCATATTTTGCACCATTTTGAGCCAAGAAATTTGAAAATGTGGTTTAAATTCCTTCTTGCCATGAAAATTCATACAAAAAAAAGAAAAAGCCTCAAACATTTTGGTCCATAATATAGTGCTGTTCATGTCTGCATCCTCATTCATTGACATGGGGTCAAATATGTCTGTAATATAGCAACTATTTGAAGTTACAATGGACACCAAAAATCCCAACGGCTCCCCTCAATAGTCATATGGTTTCATTTTGTCTACTCTGCAACTGGCTTGCATTTATGGCAATCATGTGACTATGATTTTCAACAGTTTTTTTTTGTTGGGAACCAGTATTTACTTCTGATTTTCTGCAAAAAAAAAAAAAAAAAAAAACCACCTGTGCATTATGAAAAATCAGTTGCTTTAAAATCCCTGGTATTCACTTAATAACCGCTGCAAAAAAAAAGAAAAAAATCAGATCAGCCATGTGATGATTCTACTAACAATCAGGATGTTTTATGATTGAAATTCTAGGCTCAATTTCAGTTTTAAGTCAAGGTATATAGCAATAGCAATAGTACCTAGACTTATATACCACTTCACAATGCTTTACAGCCCTCTCTAAGCGGTTTCCAGAGTCAGCATATTGCCCCCAACAATTTGGGTCCTCATTTTACCAACCTCGGAAAGATGGAAGGCTGAAACAACCTTGAGCCTGGTGAGGTTCAAACTGCCAAATTGCAGGCAGCCAGCACTCAGCAGAAGTAGCCTGCAGTACTGCACTCTAACCACTGCATCACCGTGGCTCATATCCCCAGTCATAAAAGGGATGTCCACTTCATGTAAATGAGCATCTTTTCCAGAGCAGGATCAAAGTCTGTTATTTATAGAAGAGTTATTTACAGAAAACTGTACGTACACCTTAACCAACAACCTAGCACATTTAATGAGGGTTACTGTAAATGTCTTTGACTTTAAATAGTCTAAATGATCAACAATCCCATTCCATCACTAATTTTGTCTAGTTTATGCTGAAGCTCAGATACAATGATGTTTTTAGTCTGAGAATGGGATTTGGTTTTAATGGCTCATATTGGAACATTATATCCATATGTCATTTAAGCATTTAATTGGCAAGTATTAGTCTATAAACAAATATATCTAATTAGAATATATGCCCCCCTTTGATTATGTATGGTTATATATTGACGAAGTATGAATTCCAGAATCATAAAGAGCCTTTTAAGAACTCAACAATGCCTTTTTTATCTTATTAAGAACTCCTGTTTAATAACTGTGATGTTGTGAATGATACCTGCTTGGAAAAGAGATGTATCACATATTATTAGTTAGTTTCATCCAGATTTTTGCAGCCCAAATTTAGTAGCTTTACTTTTTGACTTTCTGTTCAATCCATGACAACACAGTGGTGGAAATGGAGGTTAGGGTAGATAAGATTTTTCTTATCTTATTTGCCTTGTTAACTTCCTAGCCTTTCAAATTGTAACCTAAATTTATCTTTACTTGTCTTTAAGCTGATAGCTGATCTAAATATTTAATTGCTAATTTTTAGAAATCCCCTTGATTGTTGCAATTTAAGACTTTTGTTTGACTAAAATTTCTAATTTAAGCACTAAAAAGTTAATGTTACTGTTTCTCTGCAGGTACCTGCATAAGAACAAATATCTAAGAGTTATTGATGAAGATGCATTTTTGAGTGTTCAAAGTGGTCCAAGCCTACTGTAAGTAATGGGGAAGAATATATTAAGTTATTCTAGTGTTATTCAGAAATTAACATTGGGTAATGATTGTTAGGTCTCTGATTATCTTAATAATTATAATGCTAAAGGCATGAGCTATCTACTCATGCATTCATCATGTTCTTGCTGTAAGGTGACTAGGAAATGATACAAGGCCAACAGACTGTAGACTTATTATCTTAGAAGGCTTGCTAGTCTTATCGTTGTTGGCTTTTCTGCTGCTTATCTACCTACCATCTATCATGTTATGTATATTTCACAATTATGAATTGCATGGGGGGCTTCATGGAGTCTATCTAGGGATGACATGTCTATGTTTTTTTTCCTTGAAAACAATCAGAAAGATGTTTTGCTCTCATTCTTTTTTGAACAGGTGTATTTTTTGCTTTCCCCACTTTCCCCCTATTACAACCCTTTTAGAACAGAGGTTACAGTGCACCCAGCTGTAAAAATACCTTTGTTAGATATTATTGGATGTTATTCTTCTTCCCTAGTCATGAAACTGTATTCATCCTCAAATACAAGGAAGCAATGAAGCAGAAGAAACTGGAGTAACAAAAACAATTCTGTTACGAATTAGAAGAAAGATCATGTATTTGTTTCCCTTTGCAATACAACTTAGTGAACTTTCTGAGAGCTACTTTACTGTGTTAGTCAGCACGGTTGCCTCAGCTCTAAATAAAGAGCTCAAGAGCTGGACAAATTCAGCACAAACAAAATGAGCTTAATAACCTGAACATATTGTTTATTTATTTTATTTATTTGATTTGTCAATTGCTTACAAGATAACAGGTATAAGCATAAACATAGTTATGAATACATGAAATGGATACACATAAGAAAAATAAAAGAAACAATAGGACAGGGACGGTAGGCATGTTGGTGCGCTTATGCACGCCCCCTACAGACCTCTTAGGAAAGGAGTGAGGTCAATAGTAGACAGTCTAAGGTTAAAGTTTTTGGGGTTTGGGGAAGAAACCACAGAGTCAGGTAGAGTATTCCAAACATTGACCACTCTGTTGCTGAAGTCATATTTTCTGCAGTCAAGTTTGGTGCGGTTAACCTTGAGTTTGTATCTATTGTGTGCTCTTGTATTGTTATGGTTGAAGCTGAAGTATTCGTTGACAGGTAGGACACTGTAATGTATGATTTTATATACTATACTTAGATCGGACCAAAGGCGGTGTAGTTCTAGGTTTTCTAGGTCTAGAATTTCAAGTCTGGTGGCATAAGGTATTCTGCAACGAGTAGAGGAGTGGAGAACTCTTCTTGTGAAATATTTCTGGACTTTCTCAACTGTGTTAATATCAGATACATAATGTGGGTTCCAGACTGATGAGCTGTATTCAAGTATTGGTCTAACAAATGTTTTGTATGCTCTATTTAGTAGTGTGATATTACCAGAGAAAAAGCTACATAGGATTAAGTTAACAACTCTTCATGCCTTTTTGGCTATGTAGTTACAGTGGGCTCTAGCACTTAGATCATTAGAGATGAGTACTCCAAGGTCCTTGACTGAGTTTGGATCATCAACAATGATCATCAACAATGTAACAATGATCATCAACAATGTATTGTAATGTATTGTTCCAAATTCATCTGTGATATTATGACCACAAATGAAACATTTATTCCAGTTCTAAACCTGCTTCCCTAAAGAGGCTTCATTTTCTTCCTAAGGATAGCTATCAGCAGTTGGAGAAATACAGAAAAATAGTCAATAACTCTCTGACATCAGTAGATTTGGCAATTTCAGGGTGACTCACATTTTTTTCATCAACATAGAAATAATTTATTGAACATTCACACAGATACTAATTTACTTGGAGGTTAGTATACAAGCTGAGAGGAAGAATAGATTTAATTCAGTAAGTATATTTGATTGTATAATCAATGCAGGAGCAATTATTCATTACAGAAAGAAAAAAATTATGTGATTAGCATGTTTGTTTCTAGCCTGTGGATTGGTTCAATACTATTGGTGCAGTTAGTATGCTGAACAGAATAAAAGCTAGATTCTATATTCCTGACATACTATTTTGGATCTCAATGTAAATAAATCAAATATAGGTCCCTTATTATCCATGAGGTTATTTGCCAGTCTAGAAACTATGAATAACAAGACCTTGGACTTGGAGAAACGTACGTTACTTAAAAGCGTCTCTGCAATTTTTCGCATATATTTACAGACCCCTCACATCCCGGCTATAAACTGTTTCAACTCTTACCCTCAAAATGACGCTATAGAGCAGTGGTTGTCAATCAGTGGGCTGGGGACCACTGGTGGCCCACAAAAAAAGTTGGTGGTCTGCAGAGAAATGTCCCCCCAAAGCAATTAATTCAGGCTGTGCAGGAACACAAGGCTGCGCCACCCACATGGCCCCCACCCTTAGAGCCAAGCACAAACCTTACCTTGAGTAGAGCCATGCGAGAGGAGGTAAGACCAACAGCGGGGGAGTGAAATTCACCAGGGGGTGGCTTGCTGACGTTGGTGGGAAAGTCGGTTCCATATTCCAGAGCTGCAGTAATCACAGGACTGGCCCTTTGGTCATCCTGGAGCAGCTGCTCCTCCACCTGTGTGCCCTGGCCTGCCATGGACTGGAGAAGCTGCTCTGGGATGACCAAAGGGCCAGTCCTGTGATTACTGCAGCTCTGGAATATGGGACCAACTTTCCCACCAATGTCAGCAAGCCATCGTCAGTCAAAATTCATATTAGTAGTCCATGGGATTTAAAATTATGAGTTTGGTGGTCCCTGAGATCCAAAAGGTTGGTGATTCCTGCTGTAGAGCACTGCACACCAGAACTAGACACAAAGACAGTTTTTTCCTAAATGCCATCACTCTACTAAACAAATAATTCCCTCAACATTGTCCAACTATTTACAAAGTCTGCAGTACTATTATTATTAATCTTCTCATCATTCCTTATCACTCATCCCCTCCCACTTGTGACTGTATGACTGTAACTTTATCGCTTGTATCGTTACGATTTATATTGACTGTTTCCTAGTATGATTTGATTGCTTATTGTACCCTATGACTATTATTAAGTGTTGTACCTTATGATTCTTGACTTTTGATAAATGTATCTTTTATGTACACTGAGAGCATTTGCACCAAGAGAAATTCCTTGTGTGTCTAATCACACTTGGCCAATAAAGAATTCTATTCTATTCTATTCTATTCTATTCTATTCTATTCTATTCTATAAGTAAAGATTTCCCCTGTCCAGTCATGTTCGACTCTAGGGGGCAGTGCTCATTTTTGTTTCTTAGCCAAGAGAGACAGCATTATCTGAAGACATTTCTGTGGTCGTGTGGTCAGCATGACTATATACCGAGGTGCACGGACACTGTTACCTTCCCACCAAAGTGGTTCTTATATATCTACTTGCATTTGCATGCTTTCAAACTGCTAGGTAGCAAGAACTGGGGCAGAGAACAGGAGTTCACCTCATTGTGTGGCACTGGGATCTCGAACCTGGGATGGCAAGCTCAGTATCTTTAATTGCTGAGCTATCCTGCCCCCTATATACATACATGCATCTATGTATGTATTTATGTATGTATGTATGTTTGTATAGATAACAGATAATAGATAATCAGAGTTGGAAGGGACCTTGTAGGTCATCTAGTCCAACTCCCCACCTAAGCGGGAGACCCTATACCATTTCTGACAGATGGCAGATAACAGATAGTCAGAGTTGGAAGGGACCTTGTAGGTCATCTAATCCAATCCCCCCACCCAAGATGTATGTTGCAGAAACTGGGACCCAAAAACTGAGAACTTATTTTATCAATCACAGAAATGTAAAATCATAGCTAGTAAAATCCCAAATAACAAAGGTCATCTGTATTGATTCAGTCTTGAAGCACATATGAAACACACATTACTGAGTGCAAGGCTTTCTTTTTTTCTGAGAGAGAGGTTAGTTCCAACAGGTTTAGAGAAGACACCATTGGTAGGCATCACCAGTATAGAGGTGCCAAAGCATCTAAGAAAAGCAAAAAGGATCAAGTAAAGGCTGGGTCACTCAGAGCTTGATTTGAAGAGAAACTGAATTCTTGGGCAGTTATATCTTTCCAAAAGAAATTTCCATTAGATTATCCTACAGCAAGGATCAAACGTTGTATCCTGCCAAAGGAACTCATGCAGCCTTCCCAACATCATTGTGGACTACAAAATGCAGCTTTTATGACCATGCCAATTTTCAGGTTGTGGTTAACCATGCACATTTTATATCTATCTATTTTGTCTAAGGAAATCCTTATGGCTCTAATTTGGTTTTGTTTTTAATTGTGATGGTCAGATTGGCTTCAGCACTGTTCATACAATCAACTTTTTTGGTGTTATTTTTTAAGCATAAACATTAAATGATAATAGTAATGTTTATACTGTAGACTAATATTCTGGAACTTCTTCACATTCCACCACCATGAAATCATGGAATATGAAAGGAATAACGTACTTGGGAACAGAAAAAAAATCCAGTAAATATTAAGCTTCTGCTTTGCTCATCTAACTATTCATCTTAGCATTTTACTGGTTTGTACACAGAAGCACCTAAGGAAACTGACTTGAGAACTTCAGTTTCTTCTGAATGTTAAAGAATGTCAGTATGATTAGTTAAGTAATGTCTTATTTAAGAGAGTCATACGTAGAATTAAACACCTATTTGTTTGTAAATGTGTATGTTGCTTATAATTGGATTATAGAGCTGTTTGCAAAGACTAAATAATAGGAAAAAATAAAAATGACAGAGCAGCAGATTGTTAAAGGCAATAATAGTAGAAGTTCATAATGGACAACAGAATTCCCATGTCAAAAAGATGGGAATTCTGAAGCATACTGTAGACGAAAAATCTCCAGCATTAGTGATACCACTTTTTCATAAAATGTGGTAGCAATCAAGGTTATGGCATCTACTCTCGTCAAACATGGACTGACAAAACTTGGAAGAGCACTCAAAAACCTATTAGATTTGGGCCTAAGCAAAGGACCTATTATATACTTACAGATTAAAGTAATAGCAGTTCAGAAGGTATAAATTGAATTCTTAAGCCTCCACTTAGTCAGCCAGTGAGGAGTGAAAGTCAAAACGCTTAGATACCATCACCACAAAGAGTCCCGTGAGACAATTCCTGTTTGTCAATTACACTAAAAATATAATGTATTGAATTCATGATGCAAATAATAATTTGGTCACCATATTCTTCACTGTGTTCCATACACCATTTCTTTTCGCATCTTCAGTTATAATTCTAGGAGCACAACAGCTCAAGTTGTTGAAATGCTGAGCAGGAGGTTCACAAGCCACATTTGAGACCCCAGAGCTGCTGTGGGGTGGGGTTGGAGTTCTTGTCCTTCACGTCAGCTTCTGCCGGGGACAAGAAAGGAACCCCCATCTGAACATTCCCCAGGGCAACGGTGATGTCACCGGCTAATCCTTTCAGCCTGAAAGTGCCTTGGAGCTTCTGACATGAGTGCAAAGTTATAATTCTTGTTTAATACCTGATGCAGGATAATCACATTTCACTTTAAGTTTTTTCAAGCCTACCTCTAGGTATACATGAAAACAAGCTTCAGATTCTTACATCTTCTTCATGGAGGAATCTGCTCCTTTATTATTATTTTTCTTGCAAAATTGAATGGGCCAAAAATAGAATTGGAATATTCTGGGTTACATATAAGTTGCTGGACCATGAGTGGTTCAGTTCTTCTTCCGCCATGGAAACACACAACCCAGGCTACCAAATAAGGTTATGATTATGTGTTAAAATTTGAGGAGCAAGTACCATGGATGCTATCCAGAGCTCTCAGTGGTAAACTATTGGTTTTTTTTTTTTGGGTGGGAATGGTTTATATAATAGCAACAAATATAACTTTTAATATTATGAAGATTCTACAAATATAAGGTGCAAAGATAGTACAAAATATACATTGCTAAAAGTATTACTGTCTTACATAACGCCTTAACCAACTGGTATTTCCAATCTCTATAGTACTGTTTTCCCAAAAATAAGACCCTGTCTTATTTTTTGGGGGGGGTTTGCCACCAAATTTTCGGGGGATGTCATCCACTGACTAACCTCACATGCGTGCATTGCCCCGGCCTCCTTTTTGTTGCCAGAGGCCTTCAGGAACCTCTTCTTCTGCAGCCTGCAAGGCTTTCCTGAAGGCCTATGCAGTGGGTAACAGAACTGTGGATCAATCTGGAGCTTTGCTATCAGCTACAGAGGCCTTCAGGAAAGCCGCACCAGCCTTGAAAACTGCAGAAGAAATGGGCCAGCAAGGAAAGTGTCAGGGTGTGCGAGGCCTGGCTAAAACTGTCCAAAGGTAAGTAGTAGGGCAGCTCCACCTCTCCATCCCCATCCTAGCTTAATATTTACCCGTGCACTCAAATGGGCGGGGTCTTAATTAGGGCTTATTTTGGGGGATAGGGTTTATATTGGGCGCACATGTAAAAATCAAGATTGGACTTACTTTCAGAGTAGGTTGTATTTTCGGGGAAACAGGATACCCAAGATGCTAAGGCAGGTAGGCATAGGAGCAGGTGTGAACTAACAAATGGGAAGACATCCGAGTCACTTTCATTATGGAGGGAGGGAGGGAGAGATTGTAATTTTTGAATGATTTCAATTTATTTTCAGCTGAACTGGATTATTCTTCTTATAATTGTTTTGCATGGCTTGTAAATTATTTTGAATGTATTAACTTTGATTTTCTTTAAAGAAGAAAAAAAGTTTTCCTGGTTTTTCCCTAGCTATGTGCTAATATTATTTTGAAGTTTAAAATTTTCAAATTATAAGTCAACTGGCCAAAGATAATTCAGAAATATTAAGTCAAGCAAAAGTTTAAAAATATTTTGCCAGTTAAAAACAACCATAGTGTTAGATGTCAGATGCCTCTCAGCATAAAAAGTCCAGTGAATTTCTGTCTAAAAGAAGGAGAAAGAGGGTGTGAAGCAGCACAAGGAAAGCCATGCCAAAATGGAGAAAATGCTAACCATTTTGGTGATGGTATGGAAAGAAAAGGTCTTTAGGTCACATTCTAAAATCATACTTGCTTAGGCTGCATACTAAAAAAAAATCCTAAAGTCTAGGGGCAATCTAATATCGAGGCTAGGAGTGCATTATTCTTTATAGAAAATATAGTACTTAGGAAGAAACTGGTTCAGTTATAAACAAACCATGTAGCCTGTAGTTTTACATGTTGCTCTTAATTTCTGGATTTGTTAATTTTTCTAAAGCATTTGACAGTTGTATAGCATATAAATTAAATAAAATTAAATTTTTATGAGAAACTGACATTATTAATTGTCCTTAATTTTTCCTCTGTGTACATTTTAAGTGATGTCTCCCAGACATGTATCACTACATTGCCAGAAAGGGGATTAGAAAACTTGAAAGAACTGATGGCTCAAAATACCTGGACTCTAAAGAAACTCCCCTCAGTAAAAACTTTTCCTTATCTAACTTATGCTGCTCTGTCATACCCAAGTCACTGTTGTGCTTTCAAGAACTGGAAGAAAGCTAAGGGGTAAGTTTTAAAAATGGTATTAAATTCCAAATTGGTTAGAATCCAACTATCTAAGGAATTTTATCCTGGCTCATGAACCTGTCCAACAATAGAAATGTACTTTCAGAAACCTCTTCAACCTTTCTCCACATCAGAAGTGATGCAAATGAGAGGGCGAACATTTGTAATGCACTCAGACTTTCAAATCCTCTCCATAGAAAGTCAATCTCATGTTTATTTAAGTGTCAAATGAAGTCCACCTCTTCACCATGGACTAAATTATCATCTTTAAATACTGTTTGAACTTCTTTAAAGTAGATTTTATGCTCAATGGTTGCTCCAATTTAATAAGCTTAGATCACATTTGTTCTGAAGCATGATGTTTACTGTAAACTGTACAAAAGAATTTTATAAAGGAAAGAAAGCATAGCCATTTGTTATAATAAACGGAAATAAAAGCAAAAGCAGTGTAATAACACTAAAGTATAATTAAATGGATAATAGTTTTCTTAAAGGAATAGTTGTCTAATCAAAATGTCATTATCGTAATTACAGCTTAGAATTGTAGCTTTATTCCAAAGCTAGAACGCTACACTTTTCTCAAATAATGTTGCCTTAGCTCACAATAAATATTCCCCACTGATTAATTTGCTTTCTCTAGATAAGCTACTTCTTTTATTAATCATGCTTTCTATTGCTCCTTTAGAATCTTGGAGTTCTTGCTGTGTAATCAAACTAACAATCTCAGCATTCGCAAGAGAAGATCTTCCAATACCTTCAGGGCTCCTTTGTATCAAGATTACGTGGATGATGATTCAGATCACACTGTTGCTGTTCATGATGAGAATTCCAAATTTAGAGACCTTCATGGAAATTCACGTTATTATGTCTTCTTTGAAGAACATAACAATAAAGATGGATTTGGTCAAGAACTCAAGAACCCCCAAGAGAATATTGTGACTTTTGATAGTCATTATGATTATATTATCTGTACAGGTAATGATGATATTAGTTGCAGCCCCGGGCCTGATGAATTCAACCCCTGTGAAGATGTAATGGGGTACAGATTTTTAAGGATAGTGGTATGGTTTGTAAACTTGCTGGCCATTGTGGGCAATGTTTTTGTTCTCTTTATCTTACTCACTAGCCATTACAAGTTGACTGTCCCACGGTTCTTGATGTGTAACTTGGCCTTTGCTGATCTTTGTATGGGATTGTATCTTCTCTTGATTGCGTCAGTGGATCTTTATACTAGATCAGAGTATTATAACTATGCCATTGATTGGCAAACTGGACCTGGTTGTAGCACAGCTGGCTTTTTTACTGTCTTTGCTAGTGAGTTATCAATCTTTACTTTGACTACAATCACACTGGAACGGTGGTACGCTATTACTTTTGCCATGCGCTTAGATAAAAAAATCCGCCTTTGGCATGCATCTTTTATTATGTTGGGTGGTTGGCTGATATGTTTCCTTCTTGCCCTTTTACCTTTGATTGGAGTCAGTAGTTATGGAAAAGTTAGCATCTGCCTTCCCATGGACACTGAAACACCGATGGATCAAGCTTACATTATAATTATTTTGCTGTTGAACATCGTTGCTTTCATCATCATTTGTGCTTGCTATATTAAAATTTATATTACAGTACGGAATCCCCAATACAAGTCAGGGGACAAAGACACAATCATTGCAAAAAGGATGGCTGTGCTAATTTTTACTGACTTTTTATGTATGGCACCAATCTCATTCTATGCCTTATCTGCTGTTATAAGCAGACCCTTAATAACAGTCAGCAACTCAAAAATTCTACTGGTCTTGTTCTATCCACTCAACTCTTGTGCTAACCCATTCCTTTATGCTATCTTTACCAAAGCATTCCGAAGAGATATCTTCATCTTGCTTAGCAAATTTGGGTTATGTGAACATCAAGCTCAACTTTATAGGGGCCAAACAGTCTCCCCCAAGAACAGCAGTGGTTCTGGCCATCATAAGGGCAACCGTGGAGTTGTCCATAACCTTTCTAGCCATCAAAGGCACCCCGATGGTATACTTGGAGGCTACCATTCTGCAATGATGCTACATATTCAAGAATCCATGGAAAATAGTAAGCTGACTATATTGTAGCACATCACTACTTAAAATAATATTTGGATATTCAAAATCCCTGTTCTATTATAAAGGGCATGGTTTCTTTTGATAGGAATTTTTAAGACACATTCTGCTTTCCTGTGAGCCATCTATATAAAACTGTAAGTTTAAGAATATTAGAAAAGTTGTAATAGATCAGACCAAGCGCTTTTCGAGTTCAATTATTTGTTTGCATAATGCCATGCATTTATTACAGAAAATCCACAAGAAGGATGATATATTCCTCAGCAAACACTCTGCTCTTCAGAGTAATTATAGAAGGAAGAAACATCCTAAATTTTACTCCACTCAGCAATGGATAGCCACTTTTAGGAGATCATATGGAGTCTTACATGAGCTCTTTTAAAATGACAAAATGCATCAATTTTACTCACAACAGGCTTAGAAAGTTCAAGCTAAATCAAACAGTATGCCTAACTAAGAAATATTTTTTGTTCTAAATATTTTTTTTAAATGCTTAACTGACCTTGTGTTGATATTTCTGGCTAACATGGATGCATTGAACAATCTGATAAAATTATATGGATATTTTTTAGAAAGTTCTACTTCATTTTAATTGGAAACTAATTATGTTCCTTTTTGGTAAAATGTTAAATATGTAATATAATCAACTTTGCTGTCATTTTTAGCTTATTATTACATATTTCTGCCTTTGTACCTTTTTACATTATTTGGAGGATAGTAATTCTACCTTGTTAATTTAACAGATTTCAATTGAAATGTACTTTTGGTATAGTTTCATTGTCCTTTCATTTTTTTTCTTTTTTTTTTTTGCAAGTCTCTCTCTCTCCCTTTCCTCTCTTCTCAACAAAAGACATTAGCTATTTCATACTCAAAATTAACAGGATTCCTCTTTTATGTTCTCCAGACCAGATCAGTTTGCTGGCTTAAAAAAATTCAGTTTTCAAGCCAATGTTGTAACATTTAGCAGCCAAGTATTACAAAGCGTCAAAAAATTAAAACACGTTAATAATTTAATGCACTATATCATTAAGAATTAGTAAGGGTGTTTTTCACCTTAAGTAGCTTTAAGATTTCAATTTCCAGAATCCCCTTTTGCTGGGTCCACACATCTTAAAGCTGTGAGGATGAGAAACAGACCTGGAACAATATCTTACTGCTTTATTTTCATGTAGTGTAAAATGTTTGTCTATCCTTTTCTATAGAAGGTCCCATATCAAGGATGTCAAACTCAAGGCCCACGGGCCAGATCCGACCTGCGGGGTAGCTAGATCTGGCCCATGTGGCCACCCTGGAAACAGTGAAGGACCAGGCTCATGGTGCCTCTGCCAGCGAAAATGGAGTTTGGGAGGGCTGCATACAGCCATCCCACACTCTGTTTTTGGCTGCGATGGCCTCCTGCAACCCTCCAACAAAAACAAAGCTCGGGGGGGGGGGGACACATGCGGGGCCAAGCTCTGTTTTTACTGGCAGAAGGCTGCAGGCAGCCATCACGGCCGAAAATGGGGCCCAGAAGTCTATTTTCATTGGCAGAGCTCTTGGGCCACCACAGACATCCCCGACACGAGTGACGTCATGCTGGCCATGCCTCCCGAGGTCAAACACAACCCTCAAGTGGCCCTCAATGAAAATCAGTTTGACATCCCTGCCCTAGATTATACAACAGCTTCTACCTGGAGGCAACTTGCTATGTCCAGACAGTTCAATACTCTCTCATTGGAACTGTATGTTGTCTATGGCAGGATTTTTTCAAATTTTGTTCCATGGAATCCTGGAGTTCCACCAAAAGAAAAAATAATAATTTACATGCAACCAGAAGCATCTGTAGGAATTTTTATAAGGTACAGTGGAAAGAAGCTGTCTCCAATGGCGTCTCCTATACTCATCCTTCTATTTGTGTCTGAGAGGTGGGAAGCAAGAATTCTGGGAAATTGATTTAAGATCCTGGGTTTGATAACAACATTGGACCAACTATTTGGGTTACTTCAGTCTTTGCTATCATAATTATGGCTGTATTCCTGAATAAACTTTAGTTCAGTGCATTTCAAATGATGCCTTTATCAAGGGCACTATGAAAAAAGAAATATAAACTGCTTATAAATTTTATGCCTCTATAAAATGAGAAGACCAACATTCAAAACAATTACATTCCTAAATCTACAAAGACAAGAAAAATTATGTCATATTTAAAGTAGAAATAAATAAGTAATTGAAATAATCTGGCGCTAATACAAAGAGCAATGATATTAGAACCCCTTCCAATCCCTGCCTTTTAGGGAAGAGAAATATACTCAAATTAATGTTTTAAAAATATTTTTTGCTTTGTCTGCACACATTTCTTTTTTAAAAAATCATATAAAATGATATAAATTTAAGTGTTATCTAACAGGTTGCTAAAAATGCTACATTATTTTTGTTCTTTTTTAATTGTTAAGAATAAATCCAGAGGGGGAAATGATTTATTTTAAACAATACATTTATCTTTGTGCTTACCAGCTGAAACATGTTTATTTAAAGTAACTAGCAAATATGCTTTGATAAAAAATGTGTTGTTTTAACTTCTAATGTTCATGATATTTTGGTCTTGGAAAAGCATTGTTCTATTATTAAAGGAAAATTAAACAATAACATGTATACAGCTGAACAGAATTATTCACTTGGGAAATAATTGCCTTTTCTTGTATTCTTGAAAAAAGGAATGACATAGGAATTTAAATTATAAACTGCATGCATAAATGCTATGCTAATAGCATGCAAAGAATTTGCCTCCATCAAACTACCTACATATTAGATACTTTTGAGATTTAAATGGAATTTGTGACAAATACAGGGACTGGTTTGGACCGGTTCAGGCGAACCGGATGTTAAATTTTCACCTGATTCGCTGAACCCGTATTTGAACTGACCTGCTGGCCCCGCCCACCCTGCCCCTCCCAGGAGTCTCCACGCGGCACATTTTGGATGCAGGTAAGTGCAGGGTCCACGCGGAGGCTCTGGGAGGGGGAAAATGGGCCTGTTTCCGGCTTCTGGAGGGCCTCCGGCCATTCAGATTCAAGTGGGTATGCTCTCCACTGACTGGCATCTCTGTATGTAATAGCAATAACATACCATTATTTTGAGGGACATACCATGCATGTTCCTTAAAAAAAAATAAAAAAGGCAAAAGATCTGAAGGACCTTGAAGAACCATCATCATTCTCCTGGAACAGTAACTAATCAAGTGGTTTCACTTACACTTACACTAAGGAGTTCAACATTCAACTGAATTCCAGCCACTGCCATCAAAACACTGAAATGGTGCAGCTAGAAAGTTAAGACTATTGAATTAGAAGCTGGATAGTATGATACTGTCTAAGGAAGGTAGATTCAGGGCACTTAACGTACCAAGAGCCCTCCTAGATTTAGACCAATGACTAGTTAGATTAGCATGCTTCTTGCAACAATTGCCACCAAAGAAAAGAGAAGTAGGGCACAAAATGACAACAACTCTCCTTGACTTCCTAGTACCTTGCATTATGCTAGACTCTTAAGAATAGTTATCACTATAGCAACTATCATTTATACAGAATCTGCCATAGAAATATAATAAAAATTTAATTCATTTACTACTATGTGTAGATAATATATAGGTACCTATTTCTGAAAATGTATATTTAATTGCCTATTTGCAGTTAATTGTTTTATTATGAAATATTATAAAGTAAAAGAGGCCTTTAATTAACTTATAATGAGAGTTTAACATTACAGATAAATTTAAAAGCCTGGTTTAAAAATTAAATAAATGCAAAAGCAAACCAAAGCCTCAAGTGTTTTAATAATTCTGTTTATTTTAGCACCATAACTTAAAACATTAATAAAGAAGATGCACACAGTATCTACCATTACATTTCAATGCTGGGATAGAACTGTTTTAAAAACTCCATTATGATAAATACATAGCATACTATGCTAATATATTAATGGAAGCAATAGTAACTATGTTTGTTTCAGTTCAATCTAAGTATTGCCTCCCCACCCATCCCTAAAAATCTGGAATTTTTATCTTTGAAATCCTGGGATTCCACATTCCTGAATCCATTGTGAATGAAACAATATCATTTAAGAGTTATCTTTTATAAAAAACCATATCCAAAACATTTTTACTGTTTGAAATGTAGATAACTTATCCCCTCAGTCATGTAAAAAAAGGGAATACACATCTATTTATATATACGATCAGAGGTGGCCTTTAACTAATTGCCAGCAACTGATTATTTTGAGGATCTACAGAAGGAAACAAAAGAAGGAAAAAAGATCAGTTATGCAAGTACCATTGGCAAACTATTCAAAAAAGGAAAGTAGGAAGCAGGGACATTAGATAAATTCCAAAGCTTTGGGTTGACCAAATACAAAGATGGGATAAAAGAACAGAAATTCTGTGCACTGACAAAATTTCCATCTGTCAATTCCTGCAAGTATCAGCATGAGGCTTGGAAACCAGGATACCTTGAGTTATTTATAAATAATTAAAAAGTGATAAAAATATACTATACTAATACATTATGACATCCCAGATTCTTGGGAAAAACTAGTACATATGAAAACCAATACCAGATAAATGTGGCAGTTGTGATTTCACATTTTTATATCATAAAAAAATTCCGTGAACAGCAACATTTCACAAACTTTTAACAAGCAACATAATGACCAACTTGCCAAAATCATTGGAAACTCTGCTCTTTAGATTAAAATGTAGTAAAAACTCCTGGGAACAAGTTACATGTGCGTGGGGGGGGGGGCATGTGCAGAAACACATTGCACGTGGGGGTTCACTTGCATGCGCACAGCTGCACGGTCATGTGCGCATGCGCAGGGGGCATGCCCCCTGCATGCATTGCCTTATGGCATGCGAGGACGGAAAGGTTAGCCATCACTGGCCTACAGCATACCCTTAGGTGCTATCTTAATAATTCTTAGGTCCTTGATTAGGACTTGGGTTATTATGCTTTCACCAGTCTTAGATTGTGAATTGCAAA